CCAGCAATACCTATTAATCGAATTAGCAATGGCTTTACCATGGTATTGTACTAATATTTTGGAAAAAACATTTTTGTATAAGTTTATAATATTACAGAAGTTCATGCATGATCAATATGATTGACTATCTCAAGACCTTTAATAATGTCTAGGACTAATTTATTACTAGGTATATTCTGCGTGTTATTGGTAGTAATCTATTGCGTTTGACAGCTGACATTTTGGCAGTTTTTATTGTAAAAAATTAGTAAGTACTGAGCTAGATTCTAGTCGATATCAATCTTATATTTTCTCACAAACAAATATTTGATGATTTTTTTTTTCTAAATGAGGATTACTGGGATTTTTATCGTCCTAGATTGTTTATTTTTATGATTTTAGTTTCTTGTCACCCACACCCTACGCAAAGTAGAGTTTCGAGAGTTACTCTCAGCTTACCTTACATGAATATTTTTTAATATTTAGTTTTCATGTCCTTGGACTTTTTTCTATAAAATTAACTAAAACCCTGATAAATATACAGAATAAATCCAATACCAAAAATAAATAATTCTAAGTTTAAAAACATAAATGTAAGTTTAAAGATTTACTGCGTTTATGCATAAATAACTAACAGATTCATTGTGTATAGTCATCCCAATCCTGTTCAGCGAGAATAGCATAATCCTATAATGGAATTTCGGATTTCGAGCGGAAAACGAATCACTCGTAGTACGGGGCCATCTATGTCGCGACTGCATACTGCCATGTTAATTATCAAAACCCAGGTACCATTTCAGCTGAAGCTAAAACCGTTTATACGTTCGCATAATTATCTAATTGTTATTCATGTATCCTAACTACACTGTGTTTCTGGTACCTATTGTACCTATTAAACCTTATAACGAAACACATATACACCTTAATCTTCAAAGATGCCAAAACTAAACAATAATATTGACACCAATTTTTTTACGCCCATAGTGCTGTTTATGCTCTCAACAAATTTTCCAACTTTCCATCATGTAAATTGTCTTGACTGCTAATTATTTCCTCTAGGAATAAAAATGTTATTTTAGGAAATTTTATTGTAAAACTTTATAATCTTAATTATATTTTAAATCTTTAGATTTATTTTTAGAGATATTTTGTATACCTATTATAAAAAGCTACACAGTAGCATACAATCACACATATATGCTTTAGTTTGATGTCTCTCATGACTATGAGATTTCATCTATGAAATCAGACCACTGTTGCTCCAGTATATGATTGTACAGGTACGATCTTAATATAGAAAGAAGTCTTTGATTAATCTTGATACTGACGTAAGTGCGTAAGTCAGCTACAAGAATTCCGTTTTAGCCACCCGCTGGTCGTTGGTCGCCCTCACGCCTCGTTCAGTTTTCTAAGTTCAAATAGTTAATTCTCGTATCTACCAAATAAGATTCAAACATTTGTATGTGATATAAGATTTGCGACAATGTTAAAAAAATAAAATATAGACTTTTGGTTGTCAATAATTAATAGGGAAATGTCTAAATGACGGGTGATGACCATTTTAAAAATAGAATAGTTTAAACAATAACTATAAATATAATTGACATATACTTAAATTGATATTGCAACTTTATAATTTTTTTTAACCTTTCCTAAATAAGCTATTTTAATGATTTCTTTCTAAAAGCTGATGTGATTATCATTATTACATCAGCCTTTAACTGTCCACTGCTGAACATAAGCCTTCCCTTGAGGGGGTTTGCCAGCAGTTACCATGCTTGGCAGGCGAATTGGCAACCGCAGTAAGGTTTTAGAAATATTTTAAGAGGACACTGCTGCGGATCCTTCGCCCTCCCTTTGTCGACTCTTATAACGCCTTATAATGCCGGGACCACATGGCCATTTAGTAAGTATATTGGATAACAAATGATACGGAAAAAGAATCAGTGTCTTTAACGTCCAATTATTGTTTTAATCCAGTTAGTCTCAACACGCTCACTATTTGCAGAATTATGTAGTTACATATACAATATACAAGGAATCTAGTTTATGACTGCATCAATTATGTCTAAGCATATCCTAATTACAGTAATGGCATTAGCTTGGAAACGGGAGGCGAAGGGTCAAAAGGGGGGGCCTCGTTCACGTGTTCTGAAACACTGATGTGGATGTGTGTTGTCCATACGTAATTGTGAACGTTGTGTTTCCACAGCACGAACAGGCAAGCTATCAGGTTGTTATCTTCTCTTTCTTGCATAAGGAACTAAGTATATAGATGAAAAGGAAGGAAAATATTTGCTTCAATTCTCAGCCAGCGAAAATACGTTGATGATAAATTAGCGCACGTACCGTATTCAGGATAACGCGTTAATGCTTAAACGGTCAACCATAATTATATAGACATCACTGTGTGATAGTAAAATAATTTATTGAACCACTATTAAAACATAACTGGATTAAACAAGATGCATTACACATCAATTTTCATTCAAAATACTCGATAAGAGCTCAGCATCCTAAAATTTTCTGTGAAGTTTGACGATCCAACTTAGATTGTAACATTTATGGTATATTATTGGGACATGCAGACAGACAACCAGACATTTGTAGTAAAATCATAAAAGTTCTTAATTTAAATGCACAATCGGGACTTAACAGAACAAAAAAGCTTTTACAGGTAAATAGTACCTACATACCTGCTTCTTTATTGCCAACGTTTTTTATCGCGTTAAGTCCTGATCGTATATTTAAAATACATATAAAGGTTCTATTAAAAATTATAAAACTTAAATAAATGAAATTTCATATCAGAGAAGATTAATCACTGTGTATGAAAATGAAATAGTAACCCCGACAACACTAATATTGAATATAAACAGTAATTAATCTAAAATTAAACATATTATTTTAATCTAGAATTTATATAATGACCAATGTTCGGAGTTTATTAAAATTTTAAAAATAAATAAAAATTATAAAACATTTTTAGTTAGACTTACAATTTTAAATACATGTTATGCTATGTGAAAATTATTGAGATTGTTTGGCTATTTGAAGTTAAAACATATCATTGAATATTAAATGCAATATTTATTTTTATTTTCTGCATTTCGCAATCAGTAAAAACATTTTATATTTATTACTTCAGTTTATTTAAACATATTATGTGTTATTAGATATAACGATAGTACTGACAATTTTTAAAACTATGAAACAATATTAAAGTACCTATAGTATAGAATAATTTCGGCGTATTAATTAAAGTTTCCCCATCAATAGTTACGAGTACTTACGAAACAGTAGGTAGTAATGCCTAATGAACCCATAACGCGGTTACACTGTAATTAGGTCGACATTAACATGGCTTTGATGGACTTATCAGCAAAATGGATTTTAATGCATCTGACTAAATGAGAATTTGCCGCCGTTTCATTTCTACGATACCTTGCATCGTTAATTTTTACAATTAATATGTTCAGCACATTCCTATAATGTATGGGGTTTTTTACACATAACAAGTAAGTACTTGGTCGGATATACACTAAATATAGGCGCATGATCAGAGCAGTCAACATTGGATATGACATACTATTGTTTGATAAAATTAGCTACCAGTTTATAAATAACTATGATTAGATTTCATATCGCCGATCGGCTCTTACAGAGTCGCGTATTGCAAATTTTACTGTATTTAATTTTTCGACTAATATATATTGGAATAATATAAATTGGAATATAGAATAGAAGAGACAAAATGCTGGGCCACCTTATACGACATGACGATTTTTTAAGAGCATAGTAGAAGGAAACATAGAGGGCAAAAGAGACAAAGGAAGACCGAGGAATAACTACATGGGACAGATAAAAGAAACACTAGATGTCATGTCGTATAGGGAGATCAAGGATATGGCCGCTGTGCTATGTGCTATGCTAAGGGAGATAAGGATAAGAGCTGGCTGGAAGAAGATACATGAATTAGTTGCATCGACAAGAAACTCTTAAATAAAAAGAAAAAGATATATTGGAATGGTGATAGCCTGTAAATAACAACACCATTGAATGGTCTATAAGGGTGTTTGCAAATAAATAGGAAGAAGACCGATTTACCGTTTTGTTTCATTTCTAACGATTCAAACTGAGACTTTCAAAATTAGCTAATACCTTTCAACTACATAGTAAATTGCTGTGTTATTAAAGCAATTCCTAAATATTCCAAGTGTATTTTTAATATCTAAAAACATTTACGACGTTTTATTATGGTAGATGTTCTTGATGATTTTAGTAAAGTTATCGTAACATTGTCGTATTATGTGACGTCGCAGTAATTAAGCAAAGAAGGCGTCGGAAGACTATGGGCTGTGCCGTCTAGAATGTACATGTAACTCATTTCCATGCAAATGAGGGTGAGAGATATTACACGGAGGATGTCAGTAGACATTTTCGATTACCTCCCGCTTAAATAATGCAAGTCATCTAAAATGGGTCGTATATAATTGGTCATACTTATAGCTAATATATAAGTAGTAAATAACAGTATAATCTGTTATGTCCATGGTACTGCTCATGTCTGTAGGCGACAGTTACCACTTTTCATCAGGTGGACCATTAGCTTGTTTGCCATTCTAAATTGCATAAAATAAAATAAATATATTTGTTAAGATAATTGGAATCTAAAACCGAAAGGTTTTGGTAATCATCCGAGCTCAGCTGAACCTAAAACTTCTAATCAATTTATGCATTAGGCTTCAAGTTGGTTATATTTCAAATTTGTTTGTCATTTGTTTCGGGCGGTTTTGCCAATAACTGCTACGCTTGGCAGATAGATTGGCAACCGCAGTTAGGCTTTGGAGATGGTCAAATGTAAGTGGATAGTTTAAGAGAGACGCTGCTGCCCGTCCCTCGCCCTGCCTTAGTCGACTCTTACAACATCCACGGGAAAGGAAGGGGTGCCATATTCTATGACGGGATCACACGGCGAATGAAACTTGCGACTTAAATATTTATTAACACAAAAATAGATACCTGATGTCATTACTTTTAATCAAATAATAATATATTTACAGATAAGTAGTTAACTTATTTTTTACGATTATTATCTATTTCATCAATTAAATTTAAGACTCCTCTTTTAAAATCACGTTTCTCTTTTGAAGTAAAATCTTTTATATCTGGTAATATACTTTTAAAAAATTGCAAATCTTCATTACCATCATCCTCAACTTTATCTTCAATTTTATATTTACTATACGATGTCTCTGCTTCAGATTCTAAATAACCGTCACTGAAATCTTCTGTTTTTAACATTTTTGGTGATTGTATATTGACATCTGCCCATTCTATACTATGTTCATAGTCATTGGTGGCATCTATATTAGTCATCTTCGTTTCGCTGTTAAATGACTCATTTGAAAGCTCAGATAAAGTCTCATTTGCCAGAGTTCTGAAAAAAATATTTATATAATATTTGAATTTTGAAATTATTTGTACTATTTATTTTAAAGGAAAAAGGAAAGTTATAATGTATATATAACTATTTACTTACAACTTGGGCTTAATGAATGGATCCAAAAATTCCAATACGCTACTCAGATAATATGCTTGTATAGGTTTCTTGCTTTTAAACAGTTTATGTTTATATCTATTATATGACGATCGTATACCTTTCCATTTTGTTTTCAATTCGTCAACTAAAATATTTTAATTATTATATAGTAAGTAGTTCTATAAAAATGTATTTTTTGTTTTTATTATTATTCTATCAACTGTCAATATCTCACAGCTTCATCATCCTCATCATTTTTCTTTTGGAAAATTTTTGGCTGCTATTGCCAAACTAGCTAGATGACTTGGTATAAAGTTTGATTGTATGTTTTTCTTCTCTTGCATTGAAGTTTTCTGATCTGTTCCCCTAATCGCCTCTTATAATAACTTGAATATTAAAAATGATAGTGATATGATTTATTCTTACATTATTAATAGGTATGAATACTTATTTACAGTATTACTAATAACATTGTCTCTTTGCAATTCTTATAAACCTATTTATATCAATCAAAATTTACGTGCCATTGCATTCTTCTTTCAATTCAGTTCTTACACAATCTGCGACTTTTTTCCAAGCTTTTTCTGCACACCATCGCCTATATGTATCCGAATTGTGATCGTAAATATCTGGATACCTTTCTATAATCTTCACAAACTGCTTTATCACTTCTCGATCATCTTTCATAATTATTTTGCGTATCTGAAAAATTCTACAAATTACTATACTGTTTTGTAACTAAACAATAATAGTCCCGAAATCTTATGTAACTATATCTATAATAAGTAAGTATTATTAGAAAAAAAATTATTAATTCACTTTATACCTAGATTGAAAATAAGCTAAGAGAATTCTGACAAAATTCTATTAACACAAATAGACACGATTACTTAAACAATATTTAACAATTAGTTAAATAGTTATCCTATTAAAAAAATAATTATCAAATAATAATTATTAACTATGATTGTGTCAAAATTGTATTCCATAAGCAAAAACGTACAATTTAACTATGTCTGTCAACTGTTTATCTGTCTATATTACAGCATCATAAGTCTTACAAGTTATAATCGATCATTATGAATGTATTATAGGAAGATATAGAAGGATAAACCGCATAGAATGGCATGAAAAACAACAGTAAAAAGGTAGGTCAGCTAGTTCACGTAAATGAGGTCAACTCGAGTTCGATTCGCAGTTAAGTTGACAGCAACATGTGTAAATAAAATACCAGCAATAGTTACTTCCTTTGTGTCAACTTTTCTATAGTGATCATATTAAAACATACCTATTTCTTCTATTATTAGGTGCAATAAATAGAATTAACGACCTATTGTTTATCTGCCTGTTAGCTCAGCGCAGTAAGACAAGTAATCTAGAGCAACATATGTCTATATTTCCATACGCAATACAAACAGTGCTTACATTACAAGTCCATATTTCTATTAGCAATATCGCTAGTAGAACACACACAGAAAGAGAGAGAACGAGAGAGAGAAAGAGAAAGAGAGAGACAAAGAGAAAGAGAGAGACATACTTGTCGCTAATAAATCGCCGATGCTGATCGTAATCTATGCTAATAGTAAAAACCAATTGTATGTAATTTACACACATAAAATTGGCATACCTAATTTATCAAAATATATTTCGAAACATAGTCAGCCCCGTGTAGTTTAGACTTTTTCGCCAGTGACATCTTTGTCGTGTCATTTTTAAGCAGGTCCCTTACCAACCACATAAATATCATAATTCACTTACGTGATTGGGTATCCAAATTATAGAAATATTAAACTTGTAAACGCAACACTGTATGATCTTCTACTCAACTCGTGGCGCACTGATGTAATTGCGTTTGTGTGCCACATGCGTCGCTTATTCCAGAGCTTGGTAGAGTAGAGTGAGACAAAACATTTCGTGTGGAGCGCGGGGTGGCGCGACGTCACGCCACAGCCAACGCTATGTGGCCCTGAGCTGATACAATAATAATGAAACGAGTTCGCTGTTCATGAAACAATCAATGTTTATGATAAGATATATCGTGTTAATGCAATTGTATCGTATGGTGAAATAATTGGAGATCATTTTTGTTTGACTGATTTTAAATATTTTGACGCGAATCCTGTCAAGTATTACGTTCCGTTAGCCAAGACAGCTGAACCACAGGTAAAAGCGTTAATCCAATTCGCGCATATCAATTAAAATAAAACTATAATGTAATTATTTATAATTTTTTATTATATTAATTTATTAGCTCTAGAACCTTGCATCTTAATAATGAGCATCAACTAGTCTGTTACTAGGTATTATTACTTATTAATTAACTATCGTGACTATTCTTAACATCCGCGTAACTGTGATGCTCAGTAATTATTTAAATAATTCTTTTTCATTATATACCTATTATACTTACGAGCTGTATACAATGCAAAACTGAATTCAGACAATCGTTTTATCCCAAAAAAAAAAAAACAACCTTCTTTACATCATCTAGCCTTAGATTAATGAATCACTGATCATTAATCTAGAAGTCCTAGCACGCCAAATTTTTACATAAAAATTTCATAAATAGCAATGTCATGAGAAAATGGATACTTAATTATAAATAACATAATATTTTATTCTTCCCAAACAGCTAAACAAAGTTTCCATTATAACATTTTCAATCCAATATCTGTACAAATGACAATTTATTTAAATGAATGATTAAGTAGGTAAGATTTATATAATATGAAATATTCAGAATTTCACGTTTTTATAGAGATGAAATTAACTAAGCTAATATTTTAACCCTCCTTTATATTGATCGAGTATTTCGTTGCATACTCACACAACGCTCAGCAGCTATAATGCCACATCTGCCGAGAGGCGCGCGCGCACGTGGCGTGTCGAACACCTTTTGTCTACAACTGTGTCCAGTTTTTTTACCCATCAACCTATGTATTTTGACACAATGTTGAATATAATTTGTCCAGGCGAAAGAGACGCGCAATTTAAAAACTAATAAAAAATATATTAAAATTTATAACTTTTAAAATAGATATTTACCTCTAACTATTGAATTATAAAAAACTTAAGTATTTGCGAAACCCAATCATCCAATATTATAATAAATATTTATACCTAGCTATAGCAGATTTTTTTGTGCAACTTAGAATGGCAAACAAGCTAACGGCCCACCTGATGGAAAGTGGTAACCGTCGCCTATAGACGTGACCAGATATGTGACTTGGTTTCGATCTATCGTAAAATATGTATCTAATTATAGAAGTATTTGTTCTCAATTAGTGACGGTTAGAATGGAACGAGACATACAGGCATGAGTGAGGTATTGGATATGACTATTGAAATTGCATAACATTATTTGGCAGTATATTTGTAATATTTTTAACACATCTTCAATCTAAAAAAGTATCTACTGCTTTTAATTATAAGTAATTTAGGTAATAACATTTGTTATGGATACATAATACAGAGTGTCTAGACAATGATACATATTTATTTAAAATACATACAATGGGTAAAAATAAATTGACTTTGACCTTGAACTTTAAGCATTAATATGACAATTTGTATTCACTTAATGCAATTTACTATTTAAATGTAAGTGCAGATACACTTACGGCCAAAGTACGGTAGTGTCTCGATCAAGTCTACGTATAACAATCTTTTTTCTACTAAAATTAGATGGATCAATGTATAGTAATGAAATATATTATAGAATACTTTAATGAAAAATCATATATATGTAATTTTCAATTTGAAGAACGTTTAGATCGTAAGTATAAAAATACCGGGTCAAAATTTAATAATAGACTATAAAATTTTGTATTTTTTATTCATCATAACTATAACATTTCTTACTTACTAGCGGTATTTTTTTGTACATTTTGGTATTCTAAGACATCCTTAAGATTGAATATTTATACATATATAATACAATAAAGTAACCTAAGGTATCAAAAATTTGTTTATTCTCTAAAGCTAATACAAAATATTAATTTTACTTTCTATCTATCTAGTCTATGAAATCGAGGCGATTCGCTAATATTCTATAAAATACTAATATTAGACTGTTATTACTACAGACCAGGCGGCTTGGTATAGTTTTACTTTAAATTTATCTTTTCTTCACTTATATATTGTAAAGTGATCCTGTTGATTAAAAATTATGGTAATATGTTTTACTTCATCACCATACGGAGACGGATTTATTAAAAATAAATGGCATATTTTTAAATATTTGAAATAAGCTTTTGTATTCTTTTCCTATATAATTTCACTAACGACCCACCCCCGCTTCGCACGGTTTTTACGAAAATAAAATACGGCTCATATTACTTGGTTCAGTTAGGTATTTTTTAAATTTATCCATTTCAAACAAAAAATTATATTTTTTTTTTCTCTATAATGTTAGTTTACGTCTATAAAAATTGATGTCTTCCCCAATTTTTTTATATTTCATGTAATATGTAGGTACTTATTGTATTGTGAACTCAGTGATAATCAACTCAGCTACATTTGTTCTATTATTCAATGGATTAAATTCTGTCAGTGAATCTGTTATTGGATCTGCTAATAAAACCGTCTTTTAGATTGTTCTACGAAAACTTACTGAAATTACTTCAAATAATTTATCATTTATTGCTACCCATTGTAAGACTTGGCCCTATATTTTTATAGGACACTTTTATTTAAAACAGAGTGCCGTCTCTTTTTGACACTTGATCGTGTTCGCATTGCATAATTATGGGATAAAATAAAATAAACTGCAATAATGACAAAATTAGTATAAAATTATCATCAGAGAAAATTCTATCAATTTAAAGAAATCCATGTAGACTTAACAAATATATAGCGGAATATACAAAAATATATAAGAATTGAGAACATTCTTCGTTTTATAATACTTAAATTTGTATTCAATATAAAATATACATTAGCTATTAAACTATAAAGAAGTGTTAAAATTAAATGTACGTCATAATTTAGGAAACAACACATTATTAGACTTTATAAAGCGTGAACTGCTATTAATTAAAAGTGAAACACTAACAATTTTGAACTTTCTGATATAAATCAAGTATTTTATGAGCGATATTATCTTAATGCCTTGATAGTCCAGTAGCTTAATAGCCAGGACTGAATAACCGGTTCAATATCCAAGTTAAACAGACGTGTTTGAAGAGTAATCTTTGTAATTAATAAAAAAATCTTTGTAATTAATAATAAAGAAATCTCTTTTTGCGCACTGATTTTGTTCTACACATATCAAAAAAATGGTATCTATTGTTACTTATGATATTTGAGAACAAATATATTACTTAATTTCTATCCTGTCTAATCCAAGATTTCAAATCCTTGTTTACTTACTACACCAAAGACATAAACATGACCATTATTTTACAATAAGTATAAATAAATAATAATAATACTTCAATTTGTTGTATAAATTTATAGTTCTACATGTTCTATTATACGATATAAGCGATACAAAAATAACAATATTTGTGTAACAATAAATTACAAATTATTTATAAAACTTTGGAAATATTTTACAAAAAGTAATTCGAAATAGACTAATTCGTATAAACGGTTTTTTTTTTGTGGATGATAATGAAATAGTGACCCAGTCCGCGCTAACGGTATACACTGGCGGAGCACCAGTTAGGGAAGATAGGTGAGGTTGAAGTCAGATCAGTTGACATTATTTAATTACAACAATTTCCAGGGAGAACCGCCTGGAGATCAACCTGACAAGGTATAATAACTGATTCTGTAATTAGTTGGTAAATTTGATTACTTAACACATGATAATTATAAACATTTATAATTATTGAAAACTATTTTATTTGTGTTTAAAATGACACAAGTATTGTATAAAAGTTTTGACGATTTTATTATATTACTTTTGTATAATGGACACGTGAAATTGTATAACGCATGCGGTAAGCACGCTGCGTGCGAGTGATCAACGCGCGTGCTTGCAATTCCACGGCAGGTGATGAGACAGGTGAACTAAAACTAATTTATGACAATAAACTGCAGTTACATTAAACTATATCCTCAGTTTATTATTGCTACTCATTATTACATATATATCTAGGGCGTATTTATCTGTAGGTATATATGTAAAATGTGAAGTTTTACATTAATACAAGGGCTATTAATTGATGATAGATTATTTTTTTGATCGAATAAAGGCTTTTGTACTTTTCGAATCTATTCATCATTGATAATAATTATGATCAGTGGTAGTAAGTACTCAAACAACGTCTTCTCTTCTGTTTTCTTATTCTCTATATAGAGACGATCTGTTGACGGTGGAAAAGTACAATGTATTCCTACTACTTTTTATGCCTAAAATGTTGTAACAATATTGTATATGAACAACTTCAAGTTACGAAGCCGACATGATTTTTTTTTATTCAATTTCAACCAAATAACTTTATTGATAGTTTGTACCAAAATTACAGTTCTATCTGGGACTTCGTCGGCATGACCAGGATTTGTTTGCTGACCGGTATAAAAAGTTGATGGACTATATTCAGGATGCTTATTTGCTTCATTTAGGCTGTTTGCGTTTGTGTTCTGAGTGAGTGAAGTGAACTTTTCCATTTTTTATCAAATTGTAATTAATACATAAATATACTTGCTGTAAATTTTAAATTTGGTTATGTATAAACAGGTAGCAGATTGTACTCATTATACATGTAATACTATAAAGGTCTAAATTTTTAAAAGTAATTAAAATTGTATTGGCAGGGCTGTTTCTTCATAGTAAATAAATAAATAGAAATAAATATCCTATACCTTTCCCTATCCCAAATAGTGTATGTGTGTCAAATTTCTTGACGTTTGGTCGACCTAATTAAGTGTTAAGAGATAGCAAACAAACAAACAACTAAACTCTATTACATTATACATACATAATATTAGTAAGGAGTATATGTCTTAATGGATAACAATAGGCTAGTAATCTCTACTTATGCCTATTAATGAAGAGTTAGTACCTACATAATGTTAATCATTCCTCGTATACCGTATTTTTCCCATCATTGATTTTAGTTTCTAGCGGCCCTCACATTGTTATAAACTAAAGTGATCAACCAATGTCCATTTGTCCAACGTGACACCATCATGTAATCCTTTGTTCTAAACGTGGTCTATAAATTTATCCCTTTCTCGTGCCATTAATTTGTTGGTCAGCGCAGTGCGTTTCCTTCATCAACTGTTTTCTATCAATCGTCATATTTAACTAATATGATATATTAAGTAAAATTTATATTATCCTTCATAAATTAGATATAATCTTTTTTTTATTGTCTCTTCCAATAATAAATAAATTATATACATACACAACTATAGTATGCTGACATAACATAAAATTGTACATTACATTTTGAATTATGATATTACAAGTGTATTGACACCATTAAGTGACCATGAAGTGTAGCCCAGCGTAACGTATTAACACGCGTTCAGTAAAATAAAAATGAATATTATTATATATTTATCTAGAATTTATTTATTTATATAATATAAGTCAATATATTTATTAATTAAGAAAATATAATAAAAAAGGCAGGCTTGATCTTAGTAGGATCCTCGATCAATCCGTTTCATGTTTTGTAAATCACTATTCCAAATAAAATATACGAAATAGCTCTGTCCCATTAATATTTCTGCTGTGAGGCAGTATTAGTATGGCTGTGTTTCAGTTTGAAGAGTGTAAAGGGTACAATGAAATTACAGAGTACAGAGGTATAACACCTTAGTCAGGAGGGAAACGGATTGTTAGTAATGGAAACTAAAAATCCCATTGCTAGCAATATACCTAACCAGGTTGACCTCCGCGCGGTTGCCCCTGGAAACTATTATGATTAATTCTTCATGATGAATTCATCATGATAGGCTAACTGGCCTGTTTTTATTCTCATCGATCACCTTTCACTGGTGCTCCGCCAGCGTATCCCGTTAGCGCGGGCAGGGTCACCAATCCCTTTTCATCCAACAAAAAAAAACACCATAGTTATCAGGAATGGCAACGCATGAAGTGTATCATTTGCTGGGCCATCGCTTATTGTTATTCTAAGTTACATAAGAAAAGTGCATTCTATGCGGTAACGAATTATAATACTTAAAAAAAAAACTTCTTTTAATTTCCAGAATGTCTAGAATATAATGTCACTAAGGGAATAAAGACCAACCCTAAAATATTGTGTGTTCTTTGTACAAAAAAATATACATATAAATATTAATAATATAATTTACATCAATATTACATTTCACTTATTTACTAAAAACACATTTTTATGTGATATAAAAAGAAATAATGCGTATTATGTACATACGTACTCGTACCTACTCATGCAACTCCATCGCATCAAGAAGTTGATTAAAAAGAAACAATGGTTAATCTGAATAATCATTTAAAAATAGTGCAAACATATGTTCAACACCTTTCATAAACCGGTCGATCGAAGGACATCCGGTTTTTGGTGAGTAAAAAACTGAGCTCAACATTCTCATAGGAACTGCCGCATATCCGGTGCGCGGGCGCATAATAAAAACGATCATTTGTTAAAATGTCGGCTAAGGTAGGCGGGCCATCATATTTACCTGGGTACCTGCTTATTTCACATTAAATCTGTAGAGACATATTGCACTAACAATTACGTAGGATAATTTTTATCTAAATTCTAAAAGTGGTGCAATAAAAAAATAATAAATATGCGAATAAATAAATAAAATAAAATCTCATGACGGTCACAATATATCCTGTATTATCCATCATATTTTTTATTGATATATACAATATGTATATCCTTTCCTCATTTTTTTCGTAGTGTAGTTATTTTTGACATTTTTATAACCAAATTATAATTTTATACAAGTGATAGAATGAATAAGCACATTTTGTTTATATCTTTGAGTATACACTCATATAGGCTTTTATAAAAATGAACACTATTTGTTTACAGTTCTAGCTGTTCCGAAACTAATTTCACCAATGTTCTTGTTCTAAAATTTACTATTAAATAACCGTACAACTCTCACATTCTCTGCAGTACTGTATGATGACCTCTAATCTACATACATACAAATGACTTCCACGCATGGACAACTACAATAACTCGAATGTTTACCAAGTTACACATTCGCAGAATTGTGTTTCACTCGTCTCTAAAACCAAAGCTACAAGGTTTTAAATATAGCGGTGGTGTATGGTTCATAAGCAATGTGTTCACTTGACGTTTGGTAATAGGTGAGTGAAAGGCTGGATACGTGAGAAAACCGACGCCTATTCTAACAATACCATATATTGCCGTCATCTGGGCCAATGATCGATCTACGTAAATATTTTATATCCATTGCAGGCTAAGTGATTCTTGATTAGGTATGCATACATATTTTAATATATATACAACTATGAATATTCAATTAAATTTCACAAAAAAAAAGTCATATTGGTTTTCATCTGACTGGTTATGATTTAATCGGTTGGAGAAAGCATTTACATTGTCATAAATCTGCTGCTGCTTTTCCAAATTTGAAGCGAGATAAGTAGTAGTTATATCCATTCATCTTGTCAATGGTTATTATTAAATGCCTATTATTATATATAAGATGTTTATGCTTCCTCCAGAAAGGAGGCTAAATGTCTTTCTCGCATCAAGAAGAAAAAACAGTTCAAGATGAAATAACGAGTGTTAAAAATACAATTTCGAAAGTTATTAAAGTGATACTCTTGCTTAGAACGATCAATTTAAAAAAAGGTAGGTAGGTAGTATTGTAATTTAACATAGGTATCAGTTATTCCTATTCACCGCAGTTACATTTTTTGTAAGGCGATAGTATTCCCCAAGTCGGATAATTTTTTTTTTTAACCAATTTGTGCGAAGGTACTTGAATATTACCCATAGATGTTTTTTTGTCTAAATACAGTATATCTGAGTTTAAAGATTAAACAATTAATATATTTGTTTAGTTAGTACTTATAATTTTTAATAAGAATACTTATGCGTAGGATCTATATTGTCATAATCTAGATGAAATTAACATAAATATATTTGCAGATATATCCTTATATATACCAATACTAATATAAATGTAAAAGTCAGTTTGTTGTCTCGTGGCCATCTTAACTGATCGTTATATGGTAGGTACCTACTATACACGTAGTGTTTGGGATAAAGAAAGACATATGCTTCTTTTTATCCCGGTCAACATACATAGACGAAGTTATAGGTAAAAACTAGTCAAGAATAATATCTACTGTTCACTTTAAAAACAAATAAAAGCTATAAGTTATGTAGGTAGCGAAAGAAAAGTTTTCATTTTGACGTCGTTCAAGGCAGTCATGCGATCCTATATTTAACGTTTCATTGTTTGACCTGAGTTGACACGACCTTTAAAGTATTACGAGTTGGCTTCTTTGCTAAAATTGTATATCAGGAACGATTTGTATTTAAGAGCGAATAATATTGATAATATATTTAGTTCAACAATGGTAGGTAGCATTTTTTTTATCGAATAAAAATTGAGTGGTGACTATTGTAAGCGATATTAGTTTAAATTGACGAGGTACCAGTACGGGAGGAACGAGAATAACATTAAGTCAGTCACATTATGATCTTTCCAACTAGAGTTCAGAATTAAGTGATTATAATGCGTAATGTAAAAAACGCATTACATTAGATCCCATCAGTATTTAATATTCTAACATAAATTAAGAATCGGTCGTTTAATAACCAAATAAACCGTTGAGTGGGAATTTTAAATCAAGACAAAAAATGTGTACCAACAAATACGAGCAATTTTATTCATCACTTACTAAAACCCTCGCTGTTTCAGGTCACACAATCTATGAAGCATCCCAACGCACCTACGGCACGTATGTCCATATGGGGGTGTGGAGGAAGATCGAAAATAAAAACCCCCCACGGGTAGAAGGGCTCATCCCCAAACATATTACGGGAATGGTAGGTCGAGGTCCTGCCGCCTCGATTTTTTTGCGATAATCAACCGTCGTTTCCCGTATTACTGTTTATTATTAATTCACTTTGCTCTCACCTCACGATCGCATTACCTTCGATCAGATGGAAACAAACAAATCAATCGATATATTACCTACTTTAAGTTACAGTATTTTATATTAAGATAGTATTTTTTGTGTAAATAATTATAATATATATTTAAAAAATAATATAATTTGAAAAGTTTTACATTTGTATTTTCTGATATATTTTTTTTAGAATGTTGAGGAAGTCGTTCAGTTTCACAAATACTATACCAAGGTTTATTTTGGTAACTCCGTTCCGTTACGCGCTGTATATAAATATTCGTAGGTCAAAACAATTTTTTATGTAGTTATTATATTTGAATCATTTTACACCTAGTATTTAAATAGTAACTTTATGTAACTAGTAAGTATATAAAGGACATAAATCATTTATTAATACAAATCATGAAAATAGTACGTGCATGGTTATATTTTAAAAACAAGGCAGTGTTGTTATTTATTTCCTTAAATTTTAAAATAGACTTTTTCTTACATCATAGCATACCTAAGGCGTTTTTTTTTTATCTTAACTCAGGTAAATAAGATGAAGATAGACGTGAAAGCGAATTCAAACCGTATCAACAGATTCATTCGCCGAGGCCTCCGAAATGGCTTTTCTATTCAATTTTCGATAGAGATTTTTTTACAAACCCGCAGTTTTGCGTACGGTGGAACCAATAAATCTCTTCTTGAGGTAAGGGCCGAATTAATCACTTGACTAGTTCACAGATCGATCCGTAGACTGACAACTTCTTGATGAAGAAATGTAAGCCGTGAGTCTGCAAAGTAAGGTTTATATTCCATTTGCAATTATTTTTTTTATTTACAATTCTGAAGGTGAAAATAAGAATTGGGAATAAATAGTAGGGCTTTCTCCGTCGATACACTTGGTGAAGATTAAAGTGTTAGGGATCGCTGGTGTAACATAAATTAGGGAAATGGCTATGATCTTTGATTACATAATACTCTTTTTCTTTCCTGTGCGAGGTGAGAGATTTGAAATAGATGCCTTCTATGTGAGTAACTCATAACTGAATCATGGTACCAGTTGTGCGTTGTTATTTATATTATATATATAAAATATCTATATAATATAAATAATATATATAATATATATATAGATAAAATATCTATGAAAACTTTGAATTATTTCCATGATTAAATTAAATTAAAAATTATTCATTTTTCCCTGCAGTGGAATATTAATAAGTAGCTATATCCCGCAGATTTACCCGCTTGAGTTATTAAAATCCGTTTAGTAGCTTTTGCTCGAAAGAATAACAGACACCCATCGTTACAAACTATCGCATTTATAATATTAATAGGATTCAAAATTTGATTAAAAAAGGGATGGAAGTAGATAAATTGGTACATTTTAATGAATTTATCAAGAATTAACCACCTTAGTTCCGCGTGGAAGTCGACTTGATTTGATATATTTATGACATTGGTGTTGTGTTGTGTCTTCTATTTGAGAGCAAAGCGAAGGGAACGGTGTGACAAACTTCCTTTTATTCAACGTATCTGAGAATCAATGAGAATTTTATTGTACATAGTGCATCCTTTTATCCTGTCTGTAAGCAAATGTATGATTTGTAAAATATATGTTTTAGATTAATATTCTGTAAATAATATGGAACTAGAAAATATAATAGTTTTAAATTACTGTTCTCGTAATCCTTATACAGAACAAGGTAATGAATAATTTACCAGTCATTATTAGTAAGCAAGGAATAATTCACAATTAGGCTGTCAGTTTAAATATCAGTTTATGCATCTGCATATCAAAGTTGATGAAATAGAAGTAGGGTGTTTGTTATATACATACATACATATCTATCACGTCTGTCTCCCATTAGGGTAGGCAGAAACAATGGAACGCCAAATGCTTTGATTCAAACAAACCTCTTTCGCTTCTTCCACATTTATCAATCGAGGTGTTTGTTATTTGACGTTATTCCACTGTTAGAAAATTTGTGGGAAAAAATGAGGTCACAATTTTTTGTCGCAATAGTAAACCGCTATAATACGTCGCTCTCGACTGCCCATGTGCTGCAATAAAAAAGGTTGTATATTAATGATGTTTTTTCACCATCATAGAGTTAGTAAGAAAAAATTAACACACATTTTTTTTGTCACGGCAATAAACCTTTATTGTACGGCACTCTCGACCGCACATAGTGCAAACAGTATCAAATTGATCAACGAAAAACAAATAATTCTAGATTTCTAATAGGTAGGATTTCTAATGTGAGTGGCGCTGCGATCAAAGGAATATAATATAACTATTAGTTTATGATTCCAATAATTTAATGCGATAATTATTTTAATACCCAAAAGGCTTCGTACACGCTTTCTGCAATGTATATAACCTTTAATAAATAATAAACTGGAAGCTAATTTTTCTCAACCCATAAACCAAAAAAACACTTGATTAAATTTCAGAAACGGCCCGAAATTTAAAAGCTGTGTTGTTTCCCGCCCATTAGGGTTAGGGCGGGCGGCGGGCGCTGGGCGGGAGGCATCGGGCACAAATTAATAAACAAGCCGGCCAAGGCCAAAACCATGCGACCTAAGGCCCATCCTTGTCCCCTTTACCTGCAAACTTATACATAATTAGTACATATTGTAGTGATCTACCACAAATTGAATTAATTTAAAGCATTTAGTACAAATGATTTTAAATTTTAAATATCAATAAATAGTATAATCGTTACCAAAGCAAATCTTCAATTCGCCATAAAACGTCGCACCGTAAATGGGTGCTCCCGCACGGCCAAGGAAACGTTGTCATTCAAAATCAGACCACGTGTACAATATTTCATCATCAGGAAGGGTGGAGTGCCCCGCACTCCTCTTCGTATCACCCCACCCTCACCCCTCGCGGGTCCCCGCACCCGACCCAAAAAGTCTATCTGCACTTGACACGGGAGGAAACGGGACAGATTAACCGTAGTGAAGGGAACAAAGCTAAATATGTTTCAAGCTGATATTTACCCCAGTATAGTATATGCAAATATAAAAGACAACTACCATACAGTATACTTAACAGAAACATAGCGAACACTATATCTAAGATAGGAAGTAATACATCGTTATAATAAATAAATCTTAGTACTAAATACTAATAGCATAAAAAAAAATATCAAAAGTATTTCAAATCAAATTATAAAAGTTTGTTATTATACCTAGAATGTGAATTTAAAACCAATAATATATTTTTTAAATATTTATTTAGAACCTTATTTATATTTTTATTTTAAATATAATTTTGAAATTGAGTTATTTAAAATAATCTGCGAATAACACGGTATACTGCACTCAGTATAGAAGTTATACAATGCTGAAAAAGGATGGAGGAATGAAATGATGGAACCATTTTCAGTCCACGGTGAGATACCCACTCACACATTATCACTCTGGCTGTATTTACACACTCGCACATGTTTACGGGGCGGCGTGAAAAGTTTGAGCAGTAATTTATATGACGGTTTAAATAATTACTTCGTGTTTTCGGCTCAATTTGTAGATGAGCTTGCGCGGTATCGAAGCGGTGACATTTTATACGAGCTGCTTTTACATTGCGGTTTAGATTCGATGCTGATACTTTTGTATGCTCGATGTGATCGTTTTCATTACTCTTTATGCATTAGTTTTGAAGTGATTAAAATTGTTATCTTTAAAATTTTTATATTATTATATTATTGATGATAACTCTTTAAAAGTATTTCTAATATGTAATAATGTTTTAAACAGTATTTTTTTATTTATTTATGTAAATTTTATGAGAAAGTTAAAAAATGAATATACAAGGAGTACTCTTTTACCTACCCTACTATTAATAATAAAATAACTGTAATTTTAAAAATATACAAATATTTTTTTCTTGATTTAATTTCTTTTTATGAATTTTTTTTCGATCTTACGTTTATGTGTGTTGAAAGAAATGCAAATATACATCTAAATATTATGTCGCTTTTTACATAATACGTACAAACTCATCTCAATTATTAACAATGTTTTTTTAATTAAAAATTGTAGCTATGTTATTTTTATTACAAAATTATTCCGGTTTCGTTGCCTCCCTATTGTTTTTTTCAATTTTATTGAGTTTTAATTCATGTCTTCCCCTACATAAAACATTCCTTATTTCAGTTGCCATCTGCTTGGAAAATAGATTGCTTGTCAATAAAAATGTAAATTCGCCGCTTCAGCTCTCAGCTAATTCATTTCCCAATGGAAAATCCGGGTGCGCGTCACCGGAGATCGATCGACCGTTCGTTTCGACCATTTTTTCGCTTTTTTCCCCCATTTCATATTGACCAGACGCCCAGTTAGTTTGCATATAACACTGCACAGCATATTTGCATGTGTGACAATCTACAATATCACTACTGCACACAAAGCAAACCTATACTCACAAGGTCACCTCTTTTGTATAGAGGTCTGTTATTAACGTCTTTTACGATGATTTATAGAGGACCTTTCCTATGAAAAGATGAAGAAGCTTTCAGAGGACCCGATATGAATTCTAATATGGATTTACGATAACAACTATTGTAAGTCTTCCTTATAAAAATAATGTATTATGCGAGATGGTGACATTTCCCTTAAGAAAATAACACATACAAAACAATTTCATGTCAATTTCGTGTACAGAGGACGCGGTATAAGCAAAAAATCGAAATACGCAAATTTGATCCAAAACCTCGGGCCTCGGCGCTCACACTCTCGCGGTGATACGCCTGACACCCTAATCAAATAAGTACCTTTTACCGGGACGGTTACGGTTTTAAAGAAAAGAGGATCTTATGCTGCCGATTCAAGGTTTACATCAGGATGTTCAATCTCAGTCTGACTAGCTTCCGCATAAAACGTATTTGTAGGAAGGACGACCCAGAAAATGGGTATAATATACTCACACTACCGCCGCCGCTTCCTCGCCTTATTCTCCCGTCGCGTCCCCCAGGAGCCTGCAGAAATTTATATAACAAGCTATCTCGTCCGGGCTCGGTTATTGTCGAGAAAACACTGCCTCAGACATTATTTTTAATTAAACAAAAGTACTGTCCGCTAACGCCCCCGATCCAAATAGCGATTTCCCTCCGTCAATTGAAATCAATTTTTTCTTAATTAAATTCTTGGAAATAACAACTTTCCAGTACTATTTTCTGGTAATGTCAAATGCCAATAAACAAACACTTTCATTGATAATAATTCATTTAAGGTTATTTGTACTAAGAAAACCATTTTAGAAGGGATATTTTACCTACGTATATAAAATAACTGTTCTAATATTATACTGATATCCTCTACTTACTATTTAAATAAAAAATAACTGACAGTAGATAGTATGTATTTGTTTAATATGCAGGTAGTTTCTTATCCAAAAATAAAGTAGAAAATCCCAGACCTATCCTTCTGTTATCTCTGGTACCACTAACTCAAGGGATGCACTAAAGGTATACGTATTTCACACGATTTACTCGAAGGTATTGACATCTGAACTTTCCGATCCATACAATAAAGCAGTCCCTTTTTCACATAAACTCTTTTAATGTATTAGCGTAGATATGCAAGGTACGTTGCTACCGCAGAATAGCAATACAATAAAACTAAAGTTTTTTAACTTACAAAAAAGGGAGATTATTCTGGAGTATACCTATTCTGGACAACGTTAAAACGTTTTTATTTTATTTTATATAAAACGTAATTAATCCAAAAGACAATTGTAAAATTACTGTTGTACTTTTAAATTCAAATGTGCTCAGCAAAATTTGAGGAGTCGACTGTTACGTTCACCACAATACGAAAAGTCAACAGTACGCCTGTGACTCCCTTCTAAATCTGGAATTACAATTTAATTGTATCAACTTGCATAAAACAAATTACATTTATTCATAACCTTTTAATCATCATCATCATATCAACCGTTAATTGTCCACTGCTGAACTTAAATCTCTCCCATAAATGGGCTTTTGCCAGTAGTTGCCACGCTTAGCAGGTAGGTGACAACCATAATTAGGCTTAGGTGATTTTTAAGAGGGATGCTGCTGCATATCTCTCGATCCTTAAGTTCGACTAAGAAGCCGTCTCTTACGACATCCAAGGGAAAGGAATGGGTGGCCCATTCTATGCCAGGATCACACAGCGAACTAGTGAATATATACCTTTGAATACCTAGTATTAATTGCTATTTTAAAAATCTGTCCTTATAAACAATTTCTCATTCAATCACGTAAAATGAGTGGGTGGCCACCCCACCTCCCGCCCGCTGTCCGATGCTCATACCGAGAGTAACTTTTTACCCCTACTATGTGACTGTAAGTTTCGTTCGAGATTTCATGTTAAAGTAAATTCCGACAATAATATTTTTTGTTTCAAAATAAATACTCATAATCCTTGATAAATAGATATTCTTTATTCGTTTTCTCCATAAGATTACAATAGTAAATTTATTATAGATACAAACAAATTACAAGAAATTGATACACTATCTCCGAGTTTAGACTAACATCCTTCCATAATGACGTCAAATTTCTCATAAATGCGTTTTAGCTATTGAACTGTTTGTTCTTTGGTGTTAAATTCCTAATTTGAAAGAAAGTGACAAAACAGCGTATTATTTAAAATAGGTTGATACAAGGTTTTAGTTTTTATGAATAAGAGGGTACGTCTATATTTAATTAAAATAACTTAAGCAAAGAGTATAATTGTATGTTATATTGTATTTGGTTAAATTTAATAATTTTTAATACCCAATAAATAAACTACTCGTACAAGTAATGACAAAAAAGTTAGTGATTAATTTTTTTATTAATTAATTATTAGGTATTATCATTACACCAGCCTTTAACTGTCCACTGCTGAACAAAGGCCTCCCCCTTAGGGGGTTTTGTCTATAGTTGCCACGCTTGGCAGGCGGATTGACAACCGCAGTTACTTAGTTACCTTTTACGACACCCAAGGGAAAGGAATGGGTGGCCTATTCTATGCCGAGACCATACGACACCACAGCACACGGCTTAT